ATCCTAAGCTCTTGACAAAATGCTGGTGTTTAATGAGTAAATTCAACTACCTCATGGTTGAGTTCAATAGAATAAGCATTTTCTGAACCTCATTACATACAAGGTATTGGACTAAGTGCCAGGGAGACTACAGAGATGATAAATAAGCATATGAAAAAAAAACTTATGAAACTTACTAATTCTTCCTGTTTGCTTATCTGTCAGGACACTCAAAGCCAAATTTGTTGTTCAATTACAATAACTATTTTCAATTAGATTTTCTGTCACAAGTCTCTTTAATTACCATGAGTCATTTTTTTGTCTTTTTTTTAGAATGGGGGGCATAATATATAACCTAGTAAATAAATAAATCATTCTAATTGAGGATAAAGTGAGTTAAGTACCACAAGAAAAATAGCACTAAGAGTGCACTAAGGATTCATAGGAAGGATTGTACGGGAGAAGGAGGCAAAAGGTGAGTTTTCCAGGAAAAGTTTACTCTAGGCTATGCAGACAAATGGTCAAAGGAACAGAGATAAGAATATGTACCAAAGTTGAGAGAAAACAGTTCAGACGCAGGAATGTTGAAATAGGAGCTAGGTCATTTCCTTCATTAATTCTAAACAGAAATGAAAAATTGACCCTTCTTTGCTAAAAAACATACTGGTGTGTTGCTCACATATGTCAATCTACCATTAAGCAAGATACCAGTATGTTCATCTCACTCATTGCTGACAGGGGATGATATAACCTTGAAATTTCAGCACAGACACACAAGCAACAATATACCAGGAAGACTGAATGAATGAATTCCATCCAGTGGGCTCTCATTCAGGTCACTCAGGCTTTAGGGCATTCTTGTTTTATGAATATTTAAGATTTTATACTCCCTCAACTATATTGCCCATCTTCTCTATTGAGCTCGAAGCATTCCGTTTCTTGAGTGCTAGGATTTGTTCTTTAAAGAGAGAAAGACTGAAAATTAGGAGGGAAATGATCTGTGTAAGGATCATGTAACTTAAAGGGCAAAGGCTGGTGGAAGAGAAAGCAATGGCCCATTATGTGTGTGAAGGAAATGCAAAGTAGAAACTGTGGGCTCAGACTGAATAATCAAAATTAGGACTGCTAATCAAGTCAGAAACAGTAAGACTAGCTCAAGAGTTAATCACAAAATTTTTCATTGATCATATTACAAATTAAACTTGTTTTTAGAAGTACATATGTGTTCGACTTGGTGCCTGTAGCACAGTGGTTGTGGTGCCGGCCACATACCCTGAGGATGGGGGGTTCGAACCTGGCCAGGGACAGCTAAACAACTGCAACAACAACAACAAAAAGAAGTACACATGTGGTCAATAGGAAAGAAAGATCAGCAAAACTGGAAACAAGGTGACTAACATAGGAAATTAGTCAGCTTTGTATGGTTGCTCAGTTGCTATAGTCACAATGTATCAGTTGGTCATGAAATTGAGAGTCACAACCAGCATTTTTTAAAAAAGAAACATATATGTAAATATATGTATATCTATATCACTCAGTATTATTTCATGAAACTTCTAGTTAATATCAGATATAAGTATGTATACGTTCTGGTTCAGATTGCAAATGAGCCCCAGCCATAGTGAAGATGTTTGAAGCTAGTGCTGTATTCTTCCCCATTGAGAAGTTAGAATTGTAGTTGATAGGACCCAGGATCCAAAAGAATTTCAATAACATTGAAATTGTTCCTGCAAAGATGTTACAACTGATTACTTTGAGAGGCCACATGTGTCATATCTGTGGCATTTCTGTATCAAATAAGTATAAGAGTTCATGAATGCAGGTAAGGATTTCTCCATAGTTCTTCTAATATTTAATGCTATATAAATGGTTTGGGTCAGCAGTTCTCAACTTTTTAGTCTCAAGACCTTTTTACACTCTTAAAAATTATTGAGGACTCAAACAGGTGCAGGGGCTCATGCCTGTACTCTGAGAGGCAGAGGCAGGTGGATTGCTTGAGTTCAGGAATTCAGGACCAGCCTGAGCAAGAGAGAGACCCCTTTCTCTACTAAAAATAGAAAAAACTAGTTGGGCATTGTGATGCGGGCCTGTAGTCTTAGCTACTTGGGAGGCTGAGGCAAGAGTACTGCTTGAGTCCAAGAGTTAGAGGTTGCTGTGAGCTAAGACATCATGACACTTTACTCAGGGCAAGGGAATGTGACTCTATCTCAAAAAAAAAAAAAAAAATTATTGAGGACTCCTTAAGGCACTCTTGTTTATGTGAGTTATATGTATCTATATGTATCCCACTGGGAATTAAAAGTGATAATTTTAAATAGTATTTATTTCAAACAACAATAAAGCTATTAAATGTAAATAAAAATAATACTTTCATGAAAAATAATTTTTTCCAAAAAAAAAATTAGTGAGAAAAGTAGCATTATTTTGAATTTTTGCAAATATCTTTTAATGTCTGGATTAATACAAGACAGCTTGATACTTATATCTGTTTCTGCCTAAAATCTGTTGCTATGTTTTGTTTGAAGTACATGAAGAAACTCTGACCTCACACAGATAATGTAGTTGGAAAAGGGATAGGTGTTTTAATGACTTTTCAGGTAATTGTGGATATTCTTCTTGGATAACAGATCAAAACTTGATAAGTGGTAGTTTCTCAAAGGTTAATTGCAATGTGCTAAAATCCTATCTACTAACTTTTCATATTCTGTTACATTAAAATCTATTTAGTCCACCTTGTCATTGAATGGCTTTATTATCTATGCATGATTATGCAACATCAGACATTGCATTGGTCATTTGGAAAATATTGGACCACAGAGTTAAGCAGATCTTTCAGATGTTAACACTTTTCATTATACAATATTTTAAAAAATTGTACTGATTAATATTACCACTGATCTCATCAGAAAAGACTTTATGAGTATTGAGAAGCAGTGAAGCTCATAGCAGTAGATACACATTTTCCAAATGTCTAATTCTAGCTTGAAGGCTCAAAAATTATCATTTGAAACAGTAATTGTCCCTTGTTTTCCTGGAAGTGACAGGCATAATTTATTTATTTTTGAAAATATGTCTGTCAAATACCTGTTTGAATAACCATAGCTTGTCCATCTTTCTTTCAAGTAAAAATAGTGTTCCGTGAAAATAAAAATAAAAACACTAACTCAGCTCAAGCACAGAAGTAGTATTTCCCCCTCAAACAAATGTGGCACTTTGGTGTGTCACAGATGTGCTTTATGCGTACTTCTTTTTTTCTTTTCTTTTTTTTTTATTTGAGACAGAGTCTCACTATGTCACCCTCTGTAGAGTCCTGTAACGTCACAGCTCACATCAACCTCCAACTCTTGGGCTTAAGTGATTCTCTTGCCTCCACCTCCCAAGTAGCTGAGACTACAGGGCCCACCACAATGCCTGGCTATTTTTTGGTTTCAGTTGTCATTGTGGTTTGGCAGCCAGGCTGTATGTTAGAGCTCCGGTGTATATGGCCAGCACCCTAGCTGCTGCGCTATAAGCGTGGAGCTCAAATTCTTGTTTTTCATCCAGAATATTAAAAAGAAGTGTACCTAAGGATCGAACTTTAATAAAATTAAAGCACTTTTTCAAGAGCACTCTAAATTCATACTGGCTGACTTCCTTTTTAACTTAGAATTGATACTGGATAGGTGGTGCCCCAGCCAGCTCAGCCCAGCGCGGCTGGAGGACCTGCTGCCTCCATCAGGGCAGTGTTGGTGGCGACAACCAGCAGAGAAACCAGCAGGCTGGAGCAGGCTGGAGCATAGGCAAGAGAGGGTAGCTTCTCTTCTCCACAGGAGGCTTCCTTAGCCAAAGAAACCTGACATGAGTCAGAGAAGTTGGCGATTCCTCCAGTGCATTCCTGATTGGTCCATTTTCAAAACCTGCTCCTGATCGGTCTGTTTTCCTGCCCTGAAAGCTCATTGGACAACTGCCCCTATATAAGCCCCTAAGCAGAAAGCCCAAAGGCAGATTGCAACAGGCCTCCCAGGGAGAGCGAGCAGAAGAATAAGAGCTGTGATACTTGTATCCTGCCCTGCGAGGAGGTTTGGCTCTTTGTAAGAGCTGTGACACTTGTATCCTGACCTGCAAGGAGGTTTGGCTCTTTGTAAGAGCTGTAACACTTGTATCCTGCTCTGTAAGGAGGTTTGGCTCTTTCTAAGAGCTGTGACACTTGTATAAAACCTATCTTACTACTGATCCTGCTCTGCAAGGTTTGGCTCTTTGTGAGAGCTGTAACACTTGTTGAATAAAACCTAACTTACTGTAGATCCTGTGGTCTGTCAATTCATTCATTGAATCGTTGAGCCCAAGAGCCTGGAAATCCAGTATCAAAAGTCAGGTATCAGAATGATGAGCAGTTAAGTATATATGGACTAGTAGCGCAGTTGGTGCCCTTGCCTTGTCTTGAGTTAAGCCACCAGAACTTTTAACCACCACTGTTTGTAAATCTCATCACAGGGAACAAGTCAAAGACTTAACATTGTCTAGAAAATTGTTTTGACCTTTCAGATCCCCCACCCCCAAAGGGGCTCAAAAACACCAGAGTTCGAGGACCACACTTTGAGAACCGCTGGGTATAAACACTTTTGAAAATCAAGGTCAGATTCCCCCCAAAGGGGCTTAAAAACGCCAAGGGGTTTGAAGACCACACTTTGAGAACTGCTGGGTATAAACACTAAAAATCACACTTCTCTTTCTCTAGAGTTGTTACTGCTTTTCGATCACTGAAGCACCAAAGACCCGCCAAGGCCTTGAACACATCCAAAAGAGAAATCCTATCGCGCACGCAGCGCTAAAGCTCAAGCGGAAAGAAAAAAAGCTGTTTAGAAAAAAACCAGATTCAAAGGGCAGACTGGGGCTTGTCGTTGCCAGGTAACGATCCACAGCTGGTGGGAGCACGGTCGTCGATTAGTGATGCCTTGCACCCATCTGTAGGAGAAGCGGGCGGGGCCCGCTGGAGTTGGAAGGCCTCCCTGACTTGGGGTCACGGTGGGTTTTCAGTTGCCAGGCGGCTCGCTCGTTCTGCGATCCATTGAGAGCGCCTTCTTAGAGCCCTGTGTAGATGTCGGGGAGGGAGGGAAGATGGCTGCCACAGCGGCGGGCGGCCTGGTGGGGAAGGGGCGCGACATCAGCCTAGCAGCCCTGCAGCGCCACGACCCCTATATCAACTGCATCGTGGACGTCGCCAGCCAGGTGGCTCTGTACACTTTCGGCCATCGGGCCAACGAGTGGGTGCGTGCGGACGCGATGGGGCAGTGCAGACAGGGCTGGGGTGGAGAGTGGGGTCGTCAGATTGGGGCTCGAGTTCCGGTGCGGGGGAGGAGGGCGGATGCCCTGGAGGTGGGTGGATCTGGGCCAAAGGTCTGGACATCCGACTCCTGGACCCGAGAGTTCTAAGGGAAGGGAGGCGGATCTGGGAAGCCACATGGAGTTGAAGGGGGAAGACTCCAGCGTTGGGAGCCCAGACCGAACGGGTACGGGACCCTGAGAGTTGAAGGAAAGAGGCCCAAAGACGTGTGCTGGGAGAAAAGAAAGCAGAGTTCTGTGACAGTGAAACAGCGGCTCTAAGAGAGACAGGGACAGGAGACGAGTAAAAGTGGAGGGTTCTGGAACTCATTAAAAGAAACCAAAGCTTGATAGAAACGATCTGAAGTTGTGAGCTTAGGTGAACACCAAGAGACGAGCCATCACCGGGAACTAAAAGGCAAAATAGAGCTGAGCCTAACAGGTAGATCATACTATTCTTCGGAATATTATTGAACCACAGCCCACCAAGTTCATGTTGGAGTTCATTTGAGAGCCAAGTTACTTTAGTGCTCTTTTTCAAAACAGAGTCCCCAGAAGTAATCGACGAAATTTAATTTTCCTCACAATTAGAATAGGGTAGGAGCAGAGAACACTTGAGTCCTGTTGCTGGACTTGCTACATGTAATTTTGTAACCCACCACTTAAATGTAGAGGGATGTAGTTTTATTTCTCTTTTCCTTATAGTGATTTTTGTCCCAAACACTACTCATCTCTCCATTTAATATTTTTCCATTATGTATCATATTACGTGTGACATTTGTCCATTGTTTTTAAATAAGTTGCAAAACAGTATAGAGAAATAAACGTGTGAATGGATTTCATCTGAATTTTTAAAGTGTTCTCCAAATCCGTAATAAACATCAAAACTTAAGGAAAGCATCTATATTGAACAAATCCATGCATTTTTTAATATGTACATTCACAAGCCTACTTATCTCCAGTATGGAGCTTCAGCAGCTTGTAACTCACCTGAAAATCATTAGCACAGTAACGATAAAGAAGCAAAAATGGGATAGAAGAGAAGAATTTTGCTTTAAGTTCTTCATTGAGGAAGTTCACTGAAACCGGGCAAAGAATTTAGGTCTGCTCTCCTAGTAGCCAAACCCAAAAGGGGAACAGGAAGAGCTCTTTAATATTCTTTGTTCTGTAATAGGAAGGTTATTTTCCCCTAGTTTCTAAAGGGAATTTATCACCTGGGTTTATAGGTAAATAATATTGAGCAACATAGTGGACAGTTTCCTCCATGGTATTAAAAAAAAAAAATATATATATATATATATATATAATATTCTACATAGGGCTGTTTTACCGCTCTATAGAAAAATGCCAAAAGTATAATGTCATAATTCTGTAAGAGTAATTATGTAATAAAGAGATAAGGCGCAGGGATGTGTAATTCTGTAAACTGACTTGACACTAGGATTAGCATGTGGAGAATCCTGAGAAATCGTTAATATATGAGTAGAGCATTTCTTTTGAATAACAGTTGTTTCCTATAAGCTTTGACAGTTATCTATGTGATAGATACCCTTTAAAATTGTTGCGGAGGTTTTCTAGATATCGGGTGAAGTCCATCAACAAAAGCCTTATCAAGAGGCAGAAGTGCCAGAATGCATTATTTACAGGAGTTATGTTTTCCTGCTTCCTGGACTTGTTGCCTTCAGACAGAGCATAATTCATTCAGGAAAAGGTCATCTTTCAAAGTACTAATCTTCAAGGCTGGGTTAGCCAGAAAGAGAGAGGGAGAGACCTAGTTCAGCTACAGACTCAAAGAAATTGTCACCGCTGTCTCCATTCCCAAGGTCTCTGGATGGGAGCTGTTTGAAAGTAAAAGTATAAAAAATATTCTTGAGAGTGAGGAGAAGGTATTTGCAAGAAGGCAGGTGATAATGTATTACTGCACTGAAAATAGATGAAAAAGGACTTCAAGCACTCAAAGGAGGAGAAGTTAAGAATGAAAGGTGGATGGAACGGACTGCTTTAAAGAAGGGTTAAGGAAGATTATGTCATGACTGGAATAGGAATTCCCATTTGCCAGGATCTTAAGATTGCTCCCCCTAAATACCTATGTGTCAAATTAAGACTAATACCCTTGGTACTATTTTCCACTTCAGTCCTCAGGGTGGTGACTCTCAGTTGAAGTTGATTTTGCCCTCAGGTGATGTTTGGCAGTATCTGGAGACATTTTTGATCATCACAATAGGGGAGGGTGTTAGTGGCATCTGTAAAGTAGAGGGGATAGGGTTGTTGCTAAACATTCTACAATACATGGGACAGACCCAGTAACAAAGATTTAACTTGCCCCAGACATCAAACATGCTGAACTCAAGTAACTGCCTTAAAGTGACCAACGCCTGTGTTTCTAACTGGTAGTTTTATAAGTTTTCTGCGTAGCAGAATAACTCAGAGTTGAAAAGTACAAATTGCCAAATCAAAACCTCTGGATAATGAGGCCCAGATATTTGATAATGTGGGAAGCTTTAGAGCAGTGGTTCTCAATCTTATTAATGCCGCTGCCCTTTAATACAGTTCCTGTGGGTTACGACCCACAGGTTGAGAACTGCTGCTTTAGAGAGACAAACTTGGAAGGATGAATTGAGACCTACTTTTTAATTATTTTAGAGTAATCAGCAAAATAGAAATTGCTTTGAGTTGATTCAAAAGTGTCAAACTGCTGAGCCCTAATAATTTGCAAAACAGCTCTATTTTGTATTTCATTTTGTTATTTTGAATTTTTTATGTTGACTTTTGAGCTGCTTATTTCTTTAGCATTTGTTTAGATTTTATTATAGAGTATAATATTAAATCATTAAATTGTACTTTTAAAATTAAAGCTAAAATGCCCCAAGATTGTGAACTACTACTTTAACATAAAAGTCCTCTTTACTTGGAGGATTTAAGGAAGATATAATAAAATCTTGTTTTAGGCTGGGTACAGTGGCTAACACTACCTGTGATCCTAGCACTTTGAGAGACTAAGGCTGGAGGATCACTTGAGGTCAGGGATTCAAGACTAGCCTGAGCAAGAGCAAGACTGTCTCTTCAAGAAATAGAAGTTAGCCAGGTGTTACACTTTTTAGTCCCAGCTACTCAGAGGAGAGGGAGACAAGAGAATGGCGTGAGCCCCGGAGTTTGAGATTGTAGTGAGGTAGGCTGATGCCATGGCATGCTAGCCTGACTCATACAGTGAGACCCTGTCTCAAAAAGAAAAATCTTGTTTTAATTTTTCCCTATACCTCCTGACTTAGACATTGCTCAGAAGAAAAAAATCTGATTGTCCTTAGCTAACTGCATTTCCTAGGGTCTAGGAAAATGCATGAATTTTAGCTGGTTTAGTCATTATAGAAAAGAAATTTTATGTTTTTAAAATCCCCTTTATCCAGGTATCCTAGAACACTTAAAAATGGGGAGAGGGGAGAGGGAGGGAAGGGGAAGTAGGAGGGTGTGTGGAGGGAGGGTGATTGGTGGGATCACGCCTATGGTTCATCCTATAAGGGTACATGTGAATCTCTCTAAATGTAGAATATAAATGTCTTAACACAATAAGAAAAAGACATGAAGGCTATGTTAACCAGTTGGATGAAAGTATTTCAAATTGTATACCGAAACAGTACACTGTACCCCATGATAGTATTAATGTACACTGCTATGATTTAATTAAAAAAAAAAAACGGTTTTTCAGGCCAGGCACAGTGGTTGGTTCACACCTGTAATCCTAGCACTCTGGGAGGCTGAGGTAGGTGGATTGCTTGAACTCAGGAGTTTGAGACCAGCCTGGGCAAGAGTGAGACCCTATCTCTAAAAATAGCCAGGTGTGAGTGGTGCCTGTGGCTCAGTGGATAAGGTGCCGGCCCCATAAACCCAGGGTAGTAGGTTTGAACCCAGCCCCGGCCAGCTAAAACAGCAGTGACACTGCAACAAAAAAGCTGGGTGTTGTGGCAGGTGAGTGTGTCCCAGCTTCTCAGGAGGCTGAGGCCAAGAGAATCGCCTAAGCCCAAGAGTTAGAGGTTGCTGTGAGCTATGATGTCATGGCACTCTACTGAGGGTGACAAAGTAAAGCTCTGTCTCTGAAAGAAAAAAAAAAAAGGAATTGCTTGTTATTGGCCAGGTGAGGTGGCTCAGGCCTGTTATCCTAACACTTTGGGAGGCCGAAGTGGGTGGATCTCTTGAGCTCAGGAGTTACAGACTAGCTTGAGGAAGAGTTGAGACCCTGTCTCTACTAAGAAAATAGAAAAATTAGCTGGGCATTGTGGCAGGTGCCTGTAGTCCCACCTACTTGGTAGGCTGAGGCAGGAGGATCTCTTGAGCCCAAGAACTTGAGTTTGCTGGGATCTATGAGGATGCCAGGGCACTCTACTCAGGGTGACAGAGTAAGACTCTGTCTCTGAAAAAAAAAAAAGAAATTGCTTGTTATGAGTTAGGGTATACTTCTAGGTTCTTGAATTACCTTGCATGTTCCCTATACCTCCTTCCCTAATTCTGGATTTTTTTAAACTAAAAGGTGGCATTAAAGGACTTTTTTTTTTTAAGCAACGGGAATTACTATTATTATACAGGGGGTTCCTAAAGTTGCCATATGTAGGGAAAATAGGAAATTGTAGTTAAACATAGGTTTTTTTTTTTTGAGACAAGAGTCTCACATGTTGCCCGCGGTGGAGTGCTGTGGTGTCACAGCTTACAGCAACCTCCAGCTCCTGAGCTTAGGCGATTCTCTTGCCTCAGCCTCCCAAGTAGCTGGGACTACAGGCACTCGCCACAACACCCAACTGTTTTTTGGTTGTAGTTGTCATTGTTGTTTGGCAGGCCCGGGCTAGATTCGAACCCGCCAGCTCTGGTATATGTGGCTGGCGCCCTAGCTGCTGAGCTTCAGGTGCCAACCCTAAACATAGGTTTATTTACAAAATATTCATTATATAATATTTACAAAATATCCTCTACGTGTGGGTCACCTCTTTGTAAAAGAGGTTACATTTAGCTAAAATTTCTCATTTTCCCTATGTATAGTGATTTTAGTGGGTGACTTTAGGGGCAACTTTTGGGACATCTTGTACATCAAGGAAGAAAGGAAACAAGTTAAGCTATTTAGCTTTATATGTGCAGGTACATGTGCCATACATTTATATGTGCAAGTATCCTGGTTTGGCTCAACTAAGCTTATCAACTTATTGAACTAAGTTGAACCAGTCCAAGGTCAAATGTTAGAAGGCAGTTAAGTGTTTTGACCTTGTGGCAATTGATCTTGACAATACACAGAGGTTCTTCAGGGGCCTAGTTCCATCTGTATCTTGGCTTCAGTTTCCTATCCATGTAATGGATAATGCTAAATATTTAGCTTTTACAAATTTATTCTTAAGGGCCTTTTGGACTCAAATACTTGCTGACTGCAATAGTTAAAACCCCCACCCACAGGTTCTTAGACTATACTATGATGGTTTAAGTAATTCTTAGTGCCTGCAGAGTAGTCAGGATATAGATTTCTCAACAGGTGGGCATTAACCACGTTTTTATACAAAGAAAGATAAGAAGTAATGTTTCGTATATGTTTTTTTCTTTTTGCCTCAAAATATTTTTCCGAGTACCGTGGCAGATGGGCCACATTTGAGAAATGAGGACACTTTTCACAGTACATTGGAGTGATTTATGCAGACTTCATAGTAAATCCAGTTTAAGCACAAACTCCTTGCCTTTCTTAATTATGCTTATGTGTTAGAGAAAGTACTGGCCAAAACAGTTTTAACTGTTGTAAATTCTTTATTTCTAATTGCATAATCTATAGTAAACATCTTAAGGTTAAAAATTTGTTTACTAAGTAATGATGTTTTTCATAGCTATTTACTCTTGAAAAGCAATGTTTGCTGATAGTTTGATGTGATTTGTGCCATAGTAGATTTTGTTTTCATGACGCCTAATATAATTTCATGTGCAGAGAATGTTATTGAACTAAGGCAGTGGTTCTCAAACTAGCACATATCAGAATCACCTGGACGGCTTAATAAAAACAGATTGTTGGGCACCACCTCCAAGTTGCAGATTTGGTAGGTTTGGGCAGGAGCCCAAGAATTTGCATTTCGAACAAGTTCCAAGTGATGCTGAAGCTGCTGATTTCAGGACCCCACTGTGAGACCCACTGAACTAAAATGAACAAGAAATTTGTTGGAATTACATGAGTATGTGAGTGGATCATGCTTCTAATTTTTTGTGTGCCTTTAAAAAAAAATTATTTTAATGTTATACTTTTTTCTTAAAGAGTGTATTTTTAGCCAAAATTAGAGTACTTAAATTCTGAATGATTATGGTAATAGATATTAATAAAATATTGAGAATTTAAATAGAACTTTGAAATTAAACCATGTAAATAACAACAGTACATTTAAAATTTTGCATCATAGCAGTCTGAATAGTAGTTAATCAAACAGATGGAAACGTATGTATATGTCTGCAATAGATATATACACGTGTGCATAGTATTGATGAACACTGTCATCTGTGCCAGTCTTCCTGCCTCTGGGGAAATAAAAAAAGAAATGCCAGATGAACTAACTGAACTATTTTAAGTTTACTACCTCCCCCAGATTTTCTCTGGCAAATTCGAGTCCTAACTTGGTAATACTTCTAACTTTATTTCAGAGATCTTGGGTCAGAACTTGACTCTGAATGTCCCGCACGAAGTAGGTGATAGATTCATCTGAGAACTCTGTGGCATCATTGTCCTCTCTATTCAGCAGTCAAAGTAGAGTTACTGGCCGATGAAAACGAACCTGAGAAACCAAGTGCAGGATAATGAAACGCAGGCACAAGGGATTTCTTCAGCTTGCCGCGTACCCAAGTTGGTGGATGCAGGAAAAGGCAGCACACTTCCTGTCATCTCTTCTTTCTGATGAAATCCATGGAGCACACTTATTTTCTCATTGTTTCAGCTAGAGATTCGTTGCTGTCCTTGTAGTTGGTGAAGAGAGATAATGATGGTTTATTTTGTAAATGACAAAAGAAAGGCCGCTTCCTGCTGCTTAATCAGCAGAGCCGCAATTCTGGTGTAGAACCCGCTTTCTCCTTTTCCTCAAAATAACTCCTCATGTTGTATCTATTTGGCCCATTGCTGTTTTTCACCTACTTGAAGTTAGATAGAATGCCTGTTCTATTTTATAAGAAGTTTATGTTCTCTCCCTCTACGAACGAAGAGTATATACATATGTTGTGTGTTTCTTATTTTTTAGGAGAAGACTGATGTGGAAGGAACCTTGTTTGTTTATACGAGGTAAGAGTACTTGACTTTTATAAAGAAACTGACAGTCTTTGAAATTGTGTTTTAGCTCAGTGGTGTCACTCTTCAAGTGCAGTTTTATTTCAAGAAGTAAAAGAACTCAGTCTTAGTTTGAAATTATTAGTTGCTACAGGAAGGAAATACTGAGTCATGTCACCTGGTATGTTCTGAAGAACACTCATTTGAGAATATGATTTAAACTTCACTGTCAATGATCTTAAATCTTTGTGCTCTATTTAAAATAGGGTTAAGCATTTATGCCTTGATTCAAATGAAAGGTACAGAGTTCTTGACTATAATGCATAGGTGAGGAGCTAGAGGAACACTGGGAAGAATATTATTTAATCAATATTTCAAAAAGGAAATAAAAGGATCAATAAAAGGATCTTTGAATCTTAAAAGGATTCAAAAAGGATCAATAAAACCTTTTGATCACCCTTCCCCTACCCTTGACTGTTAACAAAAAAAAAACAAACAAAAGCAGAATCCAAAATTGAACATGTCTTCCAGCCCTGCCTTGTTTAGTTAATAGAAGATGTTTTAGGACAGATTTTAAAAACTCTTTTTTTTTTTTTTTTTTTTAGTAATTTCTTTTATTAGATATTGTTAAAATTCCAAGTACATGCAGAGGAATATAGTATATATATTGGCCAATATCTGAACTTTTTATTCACATAAACATTCACATTAAATACATAGCCCATTACCTGCAGTGGGGGACAAGGGTTAGATACACAGGCCTAGTATAAACCCTAACAGGGGTAATAGTTTCATTGGGGAGACAGGAAACACATACACACAGTATATTTTCTTTATACATATATTCCTATTAAAAATAAACTGTAATTCAGGATAGACTATCCTAAGTGCCAATGGATAGGTTATAGGCAATGAGTGCACTGCTGTGCTTGTGGAAGGCTTTATAGAATGAAGGCTGTTGAGTTGGGCCTCAGGAATAGGTAAAACTTAACCTTGCTCAGAGGACAGGGAAGGGCAGAAGAAGAATGGCGGGACAGAGGCCTGGACCAGGGGTCCTCAAACTTTTTAATCAGGGGGCCAGTTCACTGTCACTCAGACCGTTGAAGGGCCGGACTGCGGGCCCTGGGACGAGTTGGCTGTTAAGCAGGACAGGCAGCAGCGGCAAAAACACCTGGCGGGCCAGATAAATGGGCTGCATGTGGCCCATGGCTGTAGTTTGAGGACACCTGGCCTAGACTGTCCTGCGTTAAAGGAACACTTAGGGAAACGACTCAGGTGCAGAGTATTTATGTTGGTTTATATTGGTTAACAAGGGTAAGGAGATTAACTGGCTTGGAATGGCAGACTAAGGATTTTGAGATTTATTTTCTTAGCAGTAGGGGGTCATGGACAGCTTATGAACAGGGAGGTGACAGTGTTATGAGAAAGCATATAGGGCAAGTTAGCTCTTAACATTATGAGGATACATTGGTTCTGGAAGACATTGAAAAAGATTATTGCAGTAGAGCAGATGTCCAATGGTGAGACTCTGGACTTGAAGGATAGAAGTTAAAAAGGAAAGGTCATTGAAGACTACAGGTATAGAGGAATGATGAAATTAAAAAATAACATTAATATTTTGAATATGGAAGACTGAGAGAATGACAAAAGTATTCATAAAGTGCTGGCAAGGAAGTAAACAGTCTGGTTTGAAGATAAGTCTTCATTATATTTTGAAATAGTAGTAGGACATTCAAGTAGAGGTATCCACCCACAAAGGCCAGGAGTGGGGATGGAGGTAGAGTTTGGAGTGATTTGTAAGTTGAAACCATGAGAGAGAGTGTTCTCTGAAGGAGTGAGTATGAAGAGGAAACTGGTAAGGGCAAATGGTTGGGTTTTAGGACCCACAAGGATGCAAAGAAGAGTTAGCTAGAAAGATAAAAGCAGGACTAGAACAGGACAAAGAGGCTTGTTGTGGGCACAATGCAGGAATGATGGAAGTTAGCAGTGAGGAAGGGAGGTCTGTTCCAGGGGAGGCAGCAGTGAAATGGGAAAGAAGGAATGGACGGTGGGGCCAGCGGACCTGGGGACAAGGGGGTCAGATTCTTCCCAGTCTCAGGAAAACAGTAAGAGCTCCACTGGCAAGCTAGTTTACATTAGCTTCCCAGCATCCAGAGCTCCAGAGCATGCCACTGAGTGAGTTGATTCAATGCAGTGTGACTGCTCTCGAGAATCTCAAAGTGTAAAAAGGAAACCAAGCATTTGAACGCTACTATGTGCCAAGCGCTTGGGATGCATTCTCATTAATTTCTCAAGTATTGCTTTTGAGAAGTGAAAGAAAAGACATATTCACATGTATTAATGATTATTTTTAGAGACTTTTAATGGCTTTTTTTTTAAGATATGGAAGAGTAACAATTATACAAATATTATTTTCACTTTTGAGCCCAAACCAAATGTAAGTTTACATTTTCAGGTGTTTCTTAATATACTCCAAGTCATTAATGAAGCTGTCAGTCACACAAATGATGACATTGAGAAAAATAATCCATTCCTAATTTTTAATCTCTTCCCCAAATCTAACTCCTCAAAAATAGGCCTTCCTCCTCTCCTGCAAACCCCCCCCACCAGATTCTAGTGTGTTAAAATAAAGTCTTTCTTCAAAAGAGAATGACAGAAGGCACATAAAATCAGATGGGAGCTTTCAGTACAGGTAATGGCCTTGCCAGTGGTACAGTTTGACTTCTCTTCAGAAGTAGCTTTAGAGCACTTGACATATTTATCCCCTGGGCCTGTTTTTATAAATTGTGAGACAGTATATACCCATGCTGTTAAAGAGGTAAGATCCAATTGTAATAATGAAGTGTGTGAAGAATCAAATTCTGCTTCTTGTATAAAAACACTTAATCGCATGTAAAAAATTATTTCTTTACTTTATTTCCTCCCCTATTTTCCCTTCCGTAATAAAGAATTCATAGAGACACCCACTGGTGATTTCTGAACTTGACACTTAAAGAGGGCCCTCTAACAGAGCTCTTCAGGAGTACACTCTCATTTTTCCTCTGAGTTTACACTGAAATGATTCTCATGATTATTTCTGGTATCCATAATAGTGGATATGCCTACCACTTTTTTACCTCCTTGTAAAATAAGGCAGGCAAGGACTGCCTCCTGTCATTTTTAAAATCAGAGGTTCCAAAAGAAAATCCTGTTAGTGGTGGTGTAGCTGTATTTAACTTCTTTATTCACATCAAATGTTTAGAGCTCAAGTAAAACTAAAATATAACCACCTTTTCTTCCTGTTGCTCATAACATTTCCATGGGTTTGTTAATAACAGCCCTAGCACCCTAGTTTAAAGTAAATCAATGAATTCTGTTTGCTTCCATTTCAGCGTGTAAGTGGTGGTGTGTATGATGTTTCATTTGTCACCCGAAGTCGCACAGTTGAATGATTAAACGGCTGTCCCCCAAGGGTAGACAACGGTACATGTAGTTGTTAGAGTTTATACTCTGTGTAATTATTGGGTTCTTGCTGCCTGGCAGAGGAGGCATTCAGGGCTTATTGAGTGAAATGAAAAGAAAAAGTCACTTACTGCCACATTTTTATGGAGAAAACCTTGATAGTAGTTTGTACATGAAGCAGTTTTCCTTATATCGAAGAAAACAAAATGTCTGCCCTTTGAACTGTTCCATAAACTTTTTTGTTCATACGGTGTCTCCTCAGGAGTTTATTGACCAGAGTTGCTTCATTTCTTAAGAGATTTTGCAGCTTTCAATTTTAGACCAACATTAACATTTTCTTTTATAATTATGACATACACTCTATGTTAACTGCCCAAATTCTTTAAAAGTATCTCTCAGTAACATTTTAAAAAGCAGTTACTATCTCTGCCTTAAAGGAATTTACAACCTAGATAGGGAAATAAAATACATACACTTACACAAATAGTTATAGAAATATGTTACCAAAGGAAGGATTGTGCCAGTCAGACCGTACTGCCTGTGAAGGAGAATTTCAATGATTCCCATGGTGAAAGAGGTACTGTACTGTGTGCTGCAGTCTGCGTTTGTGTATGTGTGTATATATACACACAGAAAGGGTGAGAAACATGTCAGAATGTAGTTAACTGGAAGTGTAGTATACTGAGCAAATTGTCTTTTGATTTCCCCCAACCCCTTGTGATTTTTAGGTCTGCTTCTCCAAAGCATGGATTCACCATTATGAATAGGCTAAGCATGGAGAATAGGACAGAGCCCATTACTAAAGACCTGGATTTCCAACTCCAGGACCCTTTCCTTCTCTACAGAAATGCCAGATGTGAGTCTTTCTTAACCCATTGGGTAGTGTTACCTCTGAAGTGTGGCCCAGCGTTTGCACTTGTAAAGTGTCTGCCTTTGTGTTTGTGTTCAGTAGCGTGACTCTGTGTTAGTTTGGGAATTGCATGACTAATGAAGGGAGTAGCTGCTGCTTTGGAAAAGTTCAAGAGAATATGAATATGATATGTCTTTAAACCCTATCTTCTGCAGCTTCACCCATTTGTAGTGTGAACCTATCGTGGATTTTAAGCCTAAGCAGGGCTGGTCGAGGTAAATTCTTGGTCAGGAAACTGCAGAAGGACATAGATGGTGCCACTGAACCTAATAGAATTAATGATTCAGCTAGTAGCACTTTTTCCTTATGAATCTCTTTTGGCTGAATGTATTGATCAACTGTTGGAGGAAGAGAGCCTATGTTCTAAAACTGTTATCTTTGGATACAAAGAAAATGAAAAATCAAAATCCAAAGGATTTCTTTTTGTCATTAAGAATTTAATAATCCTCTGTAATGCTGAAGTTATGGTAAGTAACTAAATGGTCCTTGTCGGATCTGAAATAAGGTAGTGGTCACCTAATATTCTGTCTCTATTTTACTCTCATACTTTATCTGATGACTTGTGCTGGACAAGACTGATGAAAATATATCAATTTGGGGGGCATCTCTATACACAGAAAACACCAGCATCCTACTCAATCTGTAAATGTGTGTGGGACACGCGCCCTGGTGCTTGGTAGATAGCTTTCAGAAGACCTTACAGTTAAGAAATGTTTTCTACATTGCTTCCATCCTACGCTTTGAGCTCAAGATAACAAGAATTTGTCTTCTGTATACTATTCAGAGCATTTTTAATAATGGATGTCATATAAATAATATTTGACAATTTACAACGAATTAGTTTGAAGTAAATATAGCATCATATTTAATGCATATTTACTTTTATTTATATAATTAAGTTGCCATGATAGGTAGCCATCCTATTTAGAGAATACAGTTAAATTTTTATGCAAGAAAAAATTAAAATTGTAACATGACTTACTAATGGTAGGTCCTATGAAATGAAAGAGATTTTTTTGCAGTTTTTGACCGGGGTCAGATTTGAACCCACCACCTCCAGTATATAGGGCCCACGCCCTACTCCTTTGAGCCACAGGTGCTGCCCCTGAAATGGAAAGTTTTACAATATAGAGGAATATTCTGTTTTCTCTTCCTGTTTCTTTGCTGGAAGGTGTACTTTATCAGTTATAGCTGATAGTTTGAATTGTTTGTATGCTTTATAGTTGTGTCAAATTTTATTTTCTTTTTTGAAAATAAAGATTATTATTTAAATAAAAATATTATTAGATTCTATGTCAAATTAATACATAATTGAAATCCTAATTTTAAAAAACATAAAAATATAGAATAAATGAATATTAGTGATCCATGATAATTATTTTTGATTGCTTTTATTGGTTAGATATTTGGATTAGTCAGTATAGGTAATGCTTCATTTTAAATTCCTGTTGTGGGCTGGGCATAGTGGCTCATGCCTATAATCCTAACAGTCTTGGAGGCCGAGACGGGTAGATTGCCTGAGCTCACAGGTTCAAGACCAGCCTGAGCCAGAGCGAGACCCCATCTCTAAAAGAAAAATAGCCAGGCATTGTGGCGGGCACCTATAGTCCCTGCTACTTGGGAGGCAAGGCAAGAGAATCACCTGAGCCCAGGAGTTTGAGGTTGCTGTGAGCTGTGACTCCAAGGCACTATACCAAGGGTGAAAAAGTGAAATTCTATCTCAAAAAAATATAGAAATAAATTTCTGTTGTATATTATATCAAATAATACACCAAAATATAAAAATACAAAGTGTCTTTAATAAGTATGGATTTTATAATAACTTGCCTATGTCCCGATAGGAAATACTATTTAGATCTAAGAAACATACACTAAACCTCACCTGGGTTCTGGATAAATGTTGTCCGGTATGGCTGTTGAGCACTTGAAATTTGGCTAGTCTGAATTGAGCTATGCTATGAGTTTAAAGTATACACAGATGTTCAAAGACTTAGTACAAAAAGGAAAAGAATGTTTACAAAACTCAATTTTATATTGATTAACATGTTGCCATTATATTTTGGATATACAGGGTTAAATAAAATATATTAAAATTAATTTCACCTGCTTCTTTGTATTTTTTAATATAAAATTGCATTTATGGCTCACATTTATAGTCACCTTAGATTGGAGTTCTACTGAATGCTACTGTCAATAGTTTCCACCTATTTATTTTTCCATATTTAATGAACATTTAAGTTTATTTTACTGTATTTAGCAATCACAACTTTGTAGAACAGTCATTTTCACTGCCATTTTGCAGATGAGAAAACCAAGACTAGTGAGGTAGCAGGCAGTGTACAAACCCACAGATTCTAATTCCAATTCCATTGTTTTTTCTATACTCCCTGTGTCGCTCTCTCTACTCTTAAACATGAATGCAAATTGAAATACCATAAAAAAGGAATGAAATCAGTTGAACAATAAAGAATGGAATGGAATGGATCTGATTACTCGTCTGGGTTCATTTTGCTTTTTATTTTCCCCTCCTGGTTTCTGGTACTGATTACCTTTGCAGTAAAAGTCATGTGGTCTTTCCTTATTTATTTGCAAAAGTCTTTCAATACCTGGCATCAGAAATACACAGAAAAGTTTACCACAGATGCTGTCAGTCTCAGATACCTCTTAAATGTTGTTATAAAATGCATATATGTGATATAATAATTGCATTTGGCTTACATATTCTTTGACGACATATAGAATATTATTCTTTGGACAAGGAACTCAGCTTTACTCAGCCTTTTAAGAAAGCTGTGTTCCCTCAAGATCTGTCTAATCAAGAATCTTTATATGGTCTTGGCATTTCACATTGGTCTATGTGGGTCATAGACCATGTTTGGGCATTTCAGGGAAGACAGGTAGAGTTGATACACATTTATGTGAGTTTTCTCAGAGTTTTCTAGGTGTATTAGGTTAAAAAAAAAAAAAAAAAAAAACAGTGTCTAAGGATATAATTTCCCCTTTCTAGAATTGGATGAATTTAGAAATTTAGAAGAGAAAAAAATCCCAAATTTTCTTTGTTTAGCCAAGAAAAGATGCTTGATAAGTACATCTGAATATAATCAAACACAAAACAGGTTATTTTATTACAGAAAAGGGACTACAGTGTTAAAACTTTGTTGTAATGGGGTTTGACTGGTATAAGCCTTACTAAGTTAGCTGTTAAAGTTAGGGCAGAAAATCCAATCTTGCATTTATTCAGCAAACATGTACTGAGCATTTGCTTTCTTCCAGGCACTGTATTAGTTTTATAGGGGTTATCACATTTGATTTTCATAACTTCTTCTTGGAAATACTGTTATTCCTGTTTTATAAATGAGGATACTGAATTTAAAGGGATTCTGTGATATACCCTGGTCCGTGACTATTTTGAGATGGAAAGACCATTTGAACTAAGAAAGCCTAACTTTAAGACCCCAGGCCCAAGCAGTGAAGTACTGTCAGGGAATAATGCATTTGAGCAAAGGTTACTTTTTAAGAAATACTTAATCTTTTTAATGTATACTCCAAGGTTAAAAAAGCAAGTTTCTTTCTAGAGTTGAGATTCAAGGGTATTTTAGTTATTAGAGAGGAGATCAAATAAAACTAATCTAAAACTAATCAAATAAAAACAAATTTAACAAAAAGCTGAATTTCTTTTATATTATTTCTACTTCTTTTATATTATTTCCCTATATTAGCTATTTACTGTGTTTCCCACTTCACAACTAAATCAGATTTTTAGCATATGGAAATATGTTTTTAGAGATACATTTTCCCAAATACAGTACTTGAGATAAGTTACAGATAGCAATGACAGGAAGATTTCAGAGCCAAACCAACATGTTGAATATATGTATTGTGATATGGTTGATGATTACATGGTTAGAATGAAATTCTTTTTAGATACTTGATTTCACTGCAAACATAAGCTTAGAGTTTAGACCAAATCAGAAAAGACACAATCCAGATATTTAGGATCAAAGCTATTTTCAAAAACTCCACCTAAGTTTTAAAGGGAATTTATTGGGTGGTTTTGTATTCAGAAAGAAATTAACAATTTAAGTCCTTTATTGCCATTTGTAGGATCAGGGGAAACTGCTATAAATAATGGAAATGGCACAATGAATGAAAATGATTATTACAGGTGGTCCCTATCTCATAAATAGGCCCTTTTAAAGTGATTAGTTGGTAAACTTTTGGTTAAACATGGCAGGTGAGGCACACTCCTCTGGTTCTCCTGAAATCTGTTGAAATGACAGTAAAGAAATAAAGCCATAAATCCATTAGGGTAGAGAATACAATTCATGGAAAAGATGGAATAAGCATTAAAAAAAAAAAAGACATGCTATGATGTCTTTATTGTTCACAACTATTAACTTTGCCTTCCTGCAGAAGATTATTTATTTCTACTTTGTTGATGTTAGGCTTGATACATGATTTGGTTCTTCTCCCCACTGGCCCACTCTGCAGGAGAGTATTATGTACTCATCCTCTGGAACGCAAGTTCATGGCTACGTGAATTGCTCTGGACAGTGAAATGTGGGTGAAAGTGAGATGTGTCACTTCTGAACAGATATTTTAAGAACCAGCTCAGGATTCACTGTGCCTCTTTTTCCTCTGCTATGGTGACCAGCAGTGTTTTAGGAGGAAGCTGCTCTAAAAAACCCAGGAGCCTGGGTTTTAAAACAGATAATATGGCATTGAGGTAAAAGTGACCCATGATGGATATGCATGATGTACAAGAAATAAACCTTCGTCATTGTAAGCCATTCAGATCTTGGGGTCATTTGTTACTGTAGCATAATTTGGCCTGTTGTGGATAATATAGAAACCAGCCAGGAAGAAGGAGGTCCAAACTTAGGATGGAGGTAAAGGAATTTTTATTATTATTTTTTTTTGCTGTTTTTGGCTGGGGCTGGGTTTGA